CTATTTAATATTTGAGTATTAATATCTGAGTATTATGATGCCATATGTTATCAGATAAAGAAGTTCAAATTTGGTTCTTTAATCAAGGAAAGTGCTCAATAGGTGAAAACTCTATATTCTAAAACTTACCACAGATGTTCATGGGAGCCCTAAAAACCAGGATTTAGCCCTATATCATTTTCACTTAGTGGAAGGTTTTTAAAGACCTCAGAGTTCTACAAACTGCCTGAGATTTTAAGTTGTTTTTTTTTTTTTTGGTAACAAATTAGCAGTATAGTTTAGACATGCTTGATTTTCTTAAAATTAAAACTTAGAAGTTTTACAAATATGACACAAGACATTTTTAAGCTAAATCCATTTCCAAATTCTCCATTGACAGACATTCAAATGAATGCATTTTTATCATTCCAATGACAAATAGAAAAACCTGCCTTTCTCTTATGGGTATTATATAGGTATACAGAAATCATATGTTTCTGAGGATACAAAATGACTTTATAAATATTATGCTCATTCCTCTAGCTGTGATTCAAAGGATGGAACATTTACTAGGCAGTGTCTGGTACAAGGTGATCAGAGGAAATTTTAGACTCATGAACACCAACAAACTTAAGGCAGACACAGATGTCACATAAATCTGATGGGAAACTGCAGAAAAACTCTATAAAAATTACTTCCATGAAAACCTCTTGAGGAACATCCATTGCCTCTTGTATGTGTAAGTAAAAAAACTTAATTAACTTTTTTTCTTAATTCAAAAAGTCCTCTGATTACTTAGAAAGAAATTTATGGGTACATAATTCTGTTTCTCCACCCACTCCCTAGAATGGAATTTACATTTTAATGGTTTAAATGAAAGAGTGGACAGAACCCCCAGAATTCATTTCAGTCACACCTAAAATAAATCTGCCAACTGAACAATGTAAAGGAAAAAAAGCCTGCTATGTCAGAAAAGCAGAATTCTTCATATTAGTCAATCCCAACGTTTCAGGACAAAGTAATGCAAATCCTACTGTATGCCAAGAAAATTAAGATAATTCTACATTAAGAAAATTACAAATAATTTAATTTAATAATATGTAAAAATAGTACTACTTCTGGAGACTCAGGTCTAGAGATCAGATACCTTCGCTTAAAGGATGCAAAATGATGAGGGAAGATTAGGGTTGCAAGAGGCCTTATCAGAAAAGATAAAGCCAACCTTCAAATTTAAGGTATTTATTTTTACTAACACCAGCAGGGATTATTTCCACATAAATCTTAAGTCTTTAGAAGAATGAGATAGAAATTCAAAGTGCAGGACTTGTTTTTCTTTTTTTTCTGATACATTCCTACATTTACATACATCAAAGTAACGAAGTAATGAAACATAACAGATGTTAAAATACAGTGCCTGAAAGTCACCTTGAAACACTTTTTAGATGATCTGCCACTTACACTACACTTAAAGGTAGATTTATTCCACATGGCTCAGAATTTAAGAGTCTGTAGCCTGAAACTTGGAGTGTACCGAGGGGAAAGCCCTACACAAAAAGCAAGCAAGCAAACAAACAAAATAACCCAGCTGAAAAAATTCTGAGCATCAAGACTGGTTTAACAACAATTTTTCTCTTTTGTTATTATAACCAAATTAGTTTTCCTTGAGCAGGAAGAACTTCCCTGTAAGGGTACTCGAGCATGAAGCATTGCACAGAGGGATAGCAGCAGATTACACCACACATGAGGATATCGGGCCCTGCACAAACAAATCACATCTTGCGTACCTGAACATGGGCAAGAAGGCACTGTGAACTTCAAATTTAAGGACTCACAGAAAGTGTTTCCATCATACCACAAACCTTTTCCCATTTGGTGTTGCAAGCTTTCCTGGAAGCTGGGTTTTAAATAGGAACCCAGCCAAGCCCTCAGAGAGATGCTTAGATATGTCTCAGCAATTCCGTAAAGATCTGGGGAGTTATTGCCCTTCAGATTGCAATCCAATTGTTCCTCTGGAGCAGAAATATGCTTCATAGCATAACTGCATTTTGGCATCTCTAAATCTGTATTTCTGACACCACAGAAGCAGTTAACAGTGCCTAGACAGCAGATACTCTTCACCAAGCTCTAGTAGTAGCTGTGTCACTTGGAAATAAATGTGAAGGAGCTGGTCCAATAGCCCATGGTTGTTTTCAAAGACATGAAGAAAACGGCCAAGGAGCTCCTAATCAATTGCAAAAGAACTAAACCTGCACTGGGGAGTTCTAGTGAGGCATGGTCTGATCACTCTGTCCCCAAATCCTCATGGAGGTTTCTGTTTGAATGCGACAGAAGCAAATGTGTCACCTAGTATGCTCAGTTTTCAACCATTCCAGGTAGAATCAAATGGTAGGAAGCCTAAAACTTAATTATAGCAATGGTCAGAGAAAGATTTGGATGAAAACAAATCCAAAGGCGACAGACCCTGTTTTAATGCCAATTGTCTCTATCTGCTGTGCATATGACCCACTCATCCCCTCAGATGAGCTACAGTAAAACATCATCTCAGCTTCAATGTCCCAGACTAACAGCAGAAAGTGTTATTGGTGGAACAATTCACACAGACACACTGAGGTACAGAGCACATAAACTTATCTCCTGTGTTTAATTGTCTTCCTTTCAAAATATGCTTAAAAATCTCTTTAAGAGGCTCTGAGATTATCTATCCTTCATCGAGCTTCCAAGCATCACCTGTTTGAACGCTACTGTGATTTTCTTCTTTCAGATCCTACCAGCATGAGGATCACTACTGCACTCAACAGACACTGTCTGCTCTGCAGTCTGTGTTTGAGGATGGTCAGCAGTCTGCTTCCAGTAATAGGGAGTGAGAAACTGCTAGCCCCTGAAGGAAAAACAAGGAAGTAATTACAACACTTGCATCAGCATTTACTTTAGACAGTCAAGCCATGGATGCGGAGGCGCTCAGCTCATGGTCATATAATCAAAAAATATATGTGGAAGAGCAAAATCTGAAGAACAGAAAGGCAAACAGCCAGGAAGCGCTGAGAACAAAAGCTATTAAGCAACTCTAATGAAACCAGTATTCAAGCACTGTGACAAACACTACCCAAAGGTCCACTAAAATGCTGCAGTAAGGTGGCAAAAGATGCGTTCACAGTGTGCAATTAAGAGGCAAAAAGAATTGCTAGGACAGAAAGGAAAAACTGCTTACGAGATAAACTAGAGTCTCCTAACAAGAACCAAAGCTGCAGGCAGAGCTCATCATGACAACATCCCAGAGCAGAAGGGTGGGCTCGGGCACTGAGGTATCAAGATGACACAATCAAGCCTCTTACACAAATCAGAAGCCTCAAAACTCCTAAAATCTTTAAAGACCAGATTTACAGAAAGTGGTTTAGATGCCTGAAGATTCTGAGAGATTTTCAGGAATACTTCAACGCCTACCTCCTTTTATAGTAACAGATACTAGGTGCCCATGCACCTATGAAAAATCACGTAGGATATTTCACAATTAAACGATTCTGGACAATGTCTGAAAACTTGGCTGTGTAAAGATTGGCCTTGGAAGCAGAAGAGCAAAGAACTCACAGCCAGGATTTCCAAACCTCTGGGCTAGAGAACTACTCCAAGGGTTCTCCTGTTAATAGAGGCACCAATTTCCTGGTACAGGGAATGAAGGCAGGCCCCTGCTGCTCCTCTGAACTAATTCTGAAAACCCCTTTTGTAGCGTCCCGTATGCCCCGTCATTAAGGACATCACCAGTGCCACAAACGGCTGTCAGTGCTGGGGCACAGGGATGGTCGGGCAGGGCAGTCAGGTGAGGGGGCAGATGAAGGAAAGGGGAAGATAAAGGCAGCTTTAAGTAGGAAAAGGCAGGAAAGGGCAGGTCCTGACAGGAGGAGACAGGTGAGGGCAAGTGAAGGCAGGTGGAGGCAGGAGGGAACATGAAGCTGCAAGCAGTCGGAGGCAGGAGAATGGCAGCAGGTGGACCTCGAAGGGCCCATCCCTGCAGCCACGCTC